AATTACAATTCGGCTAATATAATGTATATAGACACATGAGGCGAACCATCAAAAGTTAAAGAATAAATCCCCCTTATCCAAATAGGAAGCCGAGAGGCTTGATAGATAATAGTACTATTCCAAAGTAAGGAAGATCTGAGCAAGAATGTGAGCAGCCCCATTAGCTTTGTTGTAACAATGAATGTATAAAATATTTGCTTGAATCGTCGTTCGTCGAAGGGAAAAGGGTCAAGTATAACAAAAGCGTGGGGGTTTATGTCACCAGAGAGCAACGAAATAGAAACAAGAGAGTTAGATTCCTCTTCAATATTGGAATAGCCAACTTCATAACCCAGTTAACGGCCACAAAGATGGCGTTCATTTAAGCTTCCAAGACGGAATGAACCTCAATAGGGAAGATGCTGATAAAAAGAAACTTGCATCCGACATCCCTAAAAATAGTGTTTCCAATGGAATTGATTGGGTGGTGAAAAGGCAACATCTACATTCAGTTTGTAAGTGTTCTCTGACCTTTCCGAAATAATTATAAGAAAGTTAGGTCTCTGAATCTGTCAATTATGTGGAAAAGACTGTCCTTTAGAAGAATTAATAATTATGTGGGAATAGAGATTATAAAGTGTTAAGCTCGCATATCATTGATAGATATATCTTCTAAAAGAATTAATTAGTGAATTGGGATTGAAATCTACAACGCAAGTATAGGGTGCAAATACTTTCCATACATGCCATATTATGATCATAGGAAGGCACAAGTTTCAAAACGTCGATTAAGATCTTTGAGCCATCTTCCATCCATCGAGAAAAAACAATCCCATCTATAGGGCATAGACCATGAGGGAATATGGATCATGTATATTGCCCACATAGTGCCTCCATATTTGCGAGATCAAAGGGCTTTGATAAAAAGTGTGATTGACAGAAATTTAATCATTCATGCAGAAATGACATTGAAGTGAGTAGGTATAGATGTTAAATCCCCTTAGATTGTTAGGGATAGGAGTATATTATGAAACAACTTCCACACGAAAAGCTTGATTGGTAGAAAAAGGTTGAGATGTCATACATGATAGAAAGAAAATGTAACAGTCTGATCGAGTGTCTCTTATGACTTGAAAAGCATATGCTAGTGTAAAATTTCAATCAATTCCATGTCTTGGGAGTGAATGCCACCAAGGCGTTTCCTAACTGCAAAACCGGGTAATTTAGGTTCCACACCTTCATTTATGTTGTAACTAGCATAAATGGAATCAACGCAAAATGTGTTATTCTACATTCAAGATCACCAAAATTTTAAAAAGTAAGGCTTGTTAATTGAATCTCACTAATAGGTCTTATCCCTAAACCCTTTTCATCAAAAGGATAGCAAAGCTATCTCCAATTTTTTCAATGAAACTTTCTAGGTTACGTTCACTATAAAACCCCAAAAGAATGAGGTCATTTTATAGGAAACAGTAAGAGTGACTTAAAGGAATAACAGATAAAACATTCTTAATTAGAATTACTCGGCCACTATGGAACAAGACTATCTTGTCTAGGCATGGAGCTTCTTATTAAAAAGAGTTAGTTTTTGATAAAATATGAGTAAAATGTTAGTAATATTTTGGGATAGCAAACTCTGCATCCCGCAATATACCAAAATATTTAGTAATATCAGTATGTACAAGCTATATGGACAGTTTTCCGTAATTAATTAATTATTAGTTAAAATTTCAATAGTTTGTTAGTCAATTAAATAATAAGATGCCAATTGATCAACCCAGTATAAATGATATCGATAAAATATGATAAGTTATATGCACTCAATACATTTGTAACATTATATTCACTAACTATAATTGTAATGAGATTTACACTCTAATGATTATGAGATTATACTAATAGTCACTTTAGTTTCATTTTCCATAATCTTTATTGCAACAATATTTTAGTAAAAGACTCGATTATTTTCATTAATTGTATAATAGTAGGGATTACTAGTGTTAATTTCGTCTTTTTTTTATAAAGCAAGTGTCCCACTTAAGCTCCGACTAATTCTCTAGAAGGCAACCACACCTTCGTAGAATTGTGCACAACTATTCAAGTCCGTCACGAAATGTATATCTTAACTCACAAGTTCTTTTCATGAAAAAATACCACGAATTCTTAATATATTCAAGCATTCAACTACTCTTAGTTAACAAATAAGGAACCACTCTCAAAGTTCGTTATTGCTTAATAAGAACCTCTTCAATTCCGCGTTCACCGTAATATATAAACCCAATAGTAAGTGTACCATTAAAATCAAAATGTTGATGTGAGCAGTGGCGGATCTAGTCATCTAGCGTGGGGGCTAATTAACCGAGGCCTAGCCCAACTCAATTGTTTTTTGTATTTTTAGTTTAAAATTTATGTGTAAAAACTTATATCATTTTTTTAATTGGCCCACTCCAAACTTCACCCCTGACTATGCTCCTGAAATGTGAGGACCTTGACTTGTGTCATTTGGATCACAGTGTCCAATACTCATTACTTAATATGAACGGGTTAGATTTGATCAAATATGATATGAATGATTTTCTGTTTAAGTTTACCCTATCCTATTTTAATCTATTCTAGTTTGAATATCATCAATCATATAAAGTGCAAACTAATTTAGAGTGTCATATTTAAGACCTCATGATTCTAAATATGCCAATAATGCATCATATATCTTAGTAAAATGTGTGGTGACATTTGACCAATTCAGCCGGTCATCTTTGCTACTGCATAAGCTGCATATCTTTGTACTTTTGAAAGTGCATCAAACACATGTAAAATGACCTATGTGCATTTCATACCGCAAGCAGTATTTAATCAAGTGATAAGGCTCAAATTGGACACTATGATTTCATTAGAATCTCATATTGGACACTAAGGTTTCAAATGGACCAAATTAGACACTATGGTTTCATATATATCTCATATTGGACACTGAAATTTCATAATTCATAGTTTTTGGACACTCACTTATATTGGATAAAGATCAAATTGGACACTCACATATATTGAATTATGAAACTTTAGTGTCCAATATGAGATACATATGAAACCATAGTGTCTAATTTTGTCCATTTGAAACCTTAGTGTCCAATATGAGATCCTGATGAAACCATAGTGTCCAATTTGAGCATCATCCCTTTAATCAAACTCTATGCATGTGTGTTCTGTACTTCTGTAATGTGTTTTTAAAAAAAATCGACTTCTGTTAAAACCGTAATAGAGTTGATGTTGCTTACAAAATATTATTGTATTTTGTGTATTTAAATGTACAAAAACTATTAAGGAAAATCGCGCTTTTGGTCTTTCAATTAGTCACCATAATGAAATGTTAGACCTGTATTTTTGAGATTCTAAATGTCACCCCCGAATTGACATATATGTTGGTAATGTCAGAAAAAACCTCACCATATGGTGGTCTACTATAACTTCAACCAATTTAGTCAAAAAAATAACTTCAACTTTATTCCTTTTAATTATTACCAAATAAATTCAGCGCACGAAGTAAAAAAACTACGTGTTTGGTAAAAAGTTAGCTAATAAGGCTGATAAGCTAAGAATTATAGGGGTTACCAAATGCGCTCTAAAAGTTGATCTTAGTTTTCTTACTAACAAACTTAAACTTTCGACTTCTAAAATTAATTCATGCACCTAACATTGAGGATTTGAGGTAGTAAATGTTTTGTTCAAACATTGAGTATATTGCACTTGAAATTGTTAGCACTCCTTGAGAAATCTAGAGGGGCTCAAGTAAGTTTCAAATTAAGTTTTGTTTTGTGTTTTGGCTTTAAAACATTATTATTACCACTTAATTTCTGACTTTTTAGGATTAATCTTCTAATTCAAATTTAGTAATTTTAAAATTAATAACAAACCCAGCAACAAAGCGAGGGCACCTCCAAACGGGCCGGTACACGTTTTTTTTAATTTTTTATATGAAATTTTCTACTTTAAAAATTAAGACATTTTTTAAATTTGGGATGAGACGTGTCCTAGGCTGACCCACCCCTAGTTCCGCCCATGAACAAACTATTACTGTAATTGACATTTCTGTTTTAGGCATGTGATTTCAATAGAAACATATATGATAGACCAGATTTGAAATTATATCTTTAAAAAATCCTAGTGATAGATACATAATTCAGCCTATTTTTACTTCTGCATGTTAGCTAAAAGTTGCATTAAATGTTAAGGCATATCATAAATGATAGATAAACTGATTTGAGGGCAAACTCTTGAATTTTAATGATTGTACATAATAGCAATTCAATTACAAATCAATTTCAATTTACAATACTCTACTTTATTCTCATCCAAAAAAATACTCTACTTTATTCATACTAAAGTAGATTAAAAAAAGCCACTTTTTTTTTTCTATTACTCCTGGGGGTAATAGAGTAAGGGAGAGCCACTTAATTTTAGCTTTATTTCCTGTTGCATTTTAGTTCCAAAAATCCATCTCACACATCACATTTAATTTATTTTTTCTGTTGATATTAATTAATATTTAATTCCAATTTTCCCATTTATGCGGAGATGATACTTGTACTAACCTATACTATTCACATTTATTTTTAGTGCAAGAAAACCCATATCATGTCATTATAATAAAAAAAAAATTGGCCGAAATCACTGTAGAGTATTGTTTGAAATAAAATTTATTTTAAGTATAAATGAACTATTTTCATATAATGTTTTAATTGCTTTAATATAAAATACATTTTAAATATAATTTATCTATAGTTCACCAAGTTTAGCCCTTTTAACTGGCATTTCATTAATTTTTACGTAATAATATATTTCGAATGTTTTTAATTGAATTGAAATTTTATGATCTGTTATGTTCTAATCTGATTTGACATGTTAAGTACGACATGATCTAATCAGGTTTAGTGCTCCAACTATCAAAACCTGTTCTAAAGTTCTAATTTGATCCCGTTTAGAACTGAAAATGACCCAAATAAAAAACGTCCCAATTCAACCGACTCACTCATATCACATGACTCAAATAATACGTCGTACTACGTGCCTTTTAAAAATACTCCTTATGTTATTCTTTTTTTTTTTTCAATTAATTCCACAGCAAAAAAGGATTAATTCTAGGTTTTGGTTTGGTACTAACCCGATTCGGATTTTCCGTCCATCGATCCAGGGATTAATTTGGTTTGGAACTAATTCTAGTTCGTCCCGGACTCGATCATCTGATCCACCTACATAAGCACACAGACCCGTCTCGGATTTGATATCACCCTTTCGTTTACCCTAGAGAGTTGAGACAGGCGAAGCAGAGAATAATGCGGCGGCGGCGGCAGATTGTGAAGGCAATTCTTTTGTTACTGATAGCATGCCTCCTGGCAACGTATGTAGTCGCTCAGTTGGGCGGAGAAGAAGAAGAAGGACCGCTTGGCGGAGGAAGTAGCGAAGACGAAGAAGAACCGCTCGGCGGAGGAAGCAGCGAAGACGAGGAAGAACCGTTTGGCGGAGGAAGTAGCCGTGGTGGCAATACGAACGCAGGCGGCGGAGCCAATATGGCGCAGCCGTATCTCTGGTCCCGTGGGAATCCTTTGAGTAATCCATCCACTGTGTTCGGGTGGCCACAAGCGGTTCCCGCTTTTTTGGCATACTTTTTAGTTATTCAATTTCGCATTTGAATCGTGATTGATGCCTTGATGGTCATCAACTTACATAAACAAGTACTCCGGGTATTGTATATTTGATCATATTCAATTTCTAGATCTAGTCAAGTAACTATCCAGCTTTATTTACGTTTCTTTATACTTTTACTTTGTTTTTTGTTTGGATAGTGTTAGTGAGTTTTTATGTGCTTATGGTCATGATTTGCCTCGAAGTTGTCCTATGTTCAGCAAAAACTTCGCTTTGTTTTGGTTGATGTTTGATTAGAGGACTTTTCGACTATTTTGAGTTTGTTAATTTTTATTAAACTTAATTTTAAATAAAAATTAATTAATACTTGGTATTTAATTAATTATTAAACCTCAATTTAATTAAATGATATTTTAATAAAAAATCATAAAATAATATTAACACACATGATAGTAATCTATGGAAATTGTTGTTTTCTCTAATTTTTTCATTAATCCTTAAGTAGTTAAGAGTATTGTGACCTTAAATCCTTAATGATCAGAAAACTCTAAGTTGCCCGTTTTCGCGTTGCTTCTTTGGAGGTGATCGGAGGGCTTCTCTTAAGTCAGAATTGAGATTGTTAGATGATAGTTGGTTGGATTTCGAATTATTGGTTGATTGTAACCGCAAATCATTTACATAAAAAGGTCAAATAAGTCATTATATAGGAGGTTCTGTCCGACCGTCGTCATTTAGGGCAGTTCCTGATGGATTTTTTTGATGAATTTTTTTGAGCATCTTATTCATTAAGTCTAGTTTACTCATACCAAATTTCAGCTAAAACTTCAACCGGGAAGACATTCAAATGAATTCTTGAAGATCTGCTATTCTTTGGTACTTTTGATCCAATTCCACCTTTTTCTTGTTTTTCTAAGTGTTCCTGGCTAATATCAAGCCACGGTCTCTCCCTAGCAGGTCTAAGGTTTGGTTTTTCCTTAGCAGATCTAAGGTTTGATTCTTCCGGCCGGTGAATCCCCTTCACTTGTGTCTGGCGTTGGGATTGGATTTGAGGCAGATTGATAAGAATCCTTGGCCAAGCTTGACGACATCGAAGCCAGAGTTCGGCGATCGATTTCTTCGTGAGCAGGGTAGCAAGGGCATGACAACGATGAAGATGACCGCTAGCGGTGGATTTGCTATGAGCGCGGGACGAAAAGAGTTGCACGGATTTTGAGCAGGCAAAATGATGATTGACAATGGAGGACCAATTAGAGTGGTACCAAGGACACGGCCTCCTCCCGAACCACCGCCATGGATTGTGCGAGATGCTAGAGTCCGTAAAAGTTTTCAAATAAGTTTTCATTATTTTGTCATTTGGTTTCTTGTTATCGTCTATATTGTTAGGTTTGTCAATTTGTTTGGGAATTTTGGCCTTGTTTGATGTCATTGAGCATGTTTGGATCTATGGGAATAGGGATGGCTGTGTCAAGCCCGTTACATGGTTAGCGATTCATGTTGCTCTTTCAGGGGTGATCGTTTCTAAGGCTCATCATAGGGTTTACAGTTGTAGTTGTTGGAGTCTAGTTGATGTCAGATTTGTTTTTTCTTTGATTGATGTAATGATCCTGAAACTTATGATATGAATAAAGGCTAGTTTTCGTTCAAAAAAAAGAGTTCTTACAAACATTCTATCTATGGAGTGGTCGATCTAGATTTAGTCATTTAGGGGCCCAAAGACTTGAGAAGGCCCAGTGTTTATGATGTGCAAAAGTTGGGGAAAATGCACGAAGTGCCAGCCCATTTGCTTTGGAAGGCATAAACATTAGTAAAGCTGTTTTTTAATTAAAAATAGAATTCATTCACTCTTAATTGATTTTTTTTATGTTTTCAATTTACATTTGGAAAAAATCCAGTAAAATTGACAAAAGGCATAAACATTAGTAAAGCTATTTTTATAAAATAGAATTTATTCACGCTTAGTTGGATTTTTTTTATGTTTTCAGTAGAGTAAAATAAGTTCTATTATAGCCTTATAAGAATAAAACTTGAAAATATTTTCGAAATAGAAGTAGAAACGCTTGAAAATTCAAAAATAGGATTGACGTATTTTTATTCCATAAATAGCAGTAATTATTGTCATGTTGAAAAATACTATGTAGTATAATGTTTAAAGTCTAATACAGCAAAAACGTGACAGTAATTACTCATATATAAGAAATAAAAATATGGAAATTGCACTTTGGAATACATAAACATTTTTACTCATATATACTCCTAAGTTCTTTTATTTTTATCTATATTTGAGGTGATTATCATGTTAATTCCAACAATTATATAAGAAGTCTTCCAAAAACTAATGATATGACGCGCATACTTTGGTGTAACCGCAACAACAACTTCATATATCAATGCATTTGCTATATATCATATCAATCCTAATTTTTCAACTTCTCGAGTTTACGAGGTCAAATATATCTTGAATTGATGTATATGAACTGATTGGGATAATAAATAGTACGTAAATGGACCAGCTGCCTGCCATTAGCAAACAATCTATCAAATTAAAGTAGCAAACTAAAATATTATCTAATGTAATAATGTATATATATAGGGGTGGGAAAAACGGGCGGAACCTAAACCCGTAAACCAACCCTGGACCGACCCGAATTATGATCCCGGTCCGAGTTTTTTCTTTTTAACCGGCCCGAATTAAAAAAAGGCCGAACCCGAAATTCCGGGCTCATTAACGGGCCTTAAAATCTATAACCCGGCCCGGACCGATAAAAACCCGAAACAATTAGCTTTAATATAGAATTAATATAATATATGAATATAAATTTATAGATAATTCCTATTATATGATTATAATCACGGTGGATAAAAAAATTATTTAGTAACTTTTACTGACTACAAATATGTTGAATTTGTTTAGCGTAATGACCATGAAAATATATTTATAGCAACTCTAGTCACATTTTTATCTATAAATTTTATTTCGTAGTATTTTTAGGAAACTTATATTATTTATTTATATGCTTTTTAAATAAAATATTAAGATAACTATCTTCTTTGGATTTGAATTGTTGGTGATTTTGGAGACTAATATTTGTGTTATTATTTGCGGTTTGTATTTTTGATTAATTTTATTTGAAAATAGGTGTTAAAATATAAAAGAACAATGAGATATTTCATGTTCGGGCTTTAACCGGCCCAAACCGAACCCGGGCTACAAAAAACCCGACTAGGACCGAATATAACGGGCTTTGTTCCGGTCCCTAATTTTCATAACCCGAAACCTTCCGGGTAAATTTCGGATTTAGCAAAAACCCGACCAAAACCGGACCAATCCCACCCCTATATATATATATATATATATATATATATATATATACATACACACACACACACACATATATATATATATATATATATATATATATATGTGGATTATATATTACACCGTGCACACAATTATTGATCGATCGATGATGAACAAATTGCTTAAAGGGGGGACGACATTCATTTGGATATAATGCATATATATAAGCTAGTTTTTAAACGCGCGTTGCGCGGATATCATTGTGCCCAATGTATTTTAGGTATCACCAACTTTATCTACAAAGAAAGAAAAAAAATTGAATCTTATAATTTAAAATAAATTGTTAATCACTACTCCTAATGTATAAAAAAAGATTTACTTTAATTATTTGGTTCTCTTTCGTAAAGCAATTTCTGACTTGTTGGTTTGATAATCAACTTTCCCAAATCCCAATCAGTTCTTTATTTGAGTGTATTAGAGCTACCGATTGATAATTAGAATGGTGTTCCTTTCAAAACAAATTTTAGTGGTGTCAACTACTCTATAGAATTGTCAATAATTCTATTGACCTCTGCTGGCTCAAAAAAACAACAAAAACAAAATAGAGATAGAACCCCTTTATTAGCCTTTTTTAGTCTATCAACTACTATTTCAGTTTAATATTGTTCAAGATCAATTACAGCTATTTATCAAACTGTTTTAAGAATAATCAAGTTCAGAAAACTAAAAATAGTAATGATATTGCATATACAAAGTATTGAACAGGGGCGAATAGTAATGATACTGCAAATTAACGAAATAGAAAAAGAAGCCTAAAAACTAAAAAGTTTTCATTTTAACTGAGCAGATTTTTACAACGCATACTCAAAATCATAACCAACGTCACTGTTGTCGTAAAAGAGCCGTTTTAGCCCACTACAGAGAAGCCTAACTTCATCATACGTGTTCTTAGCCACTATCAGTAATTGATAGTGGCTAAGTACAATCAAAGTATACAAATGACTAAGCAAGTATGATCTAGCTTATAAAATTCTTGTGAACCATGATCAACTAAAACTGCAGTCACAAAAACTGAAAAAGAATCGATCACCTAATAGCTTACGTAAATAAACTATTCAATAACTGATAAATGACAAAAAAAACATAAAAATGACTAAACAATTATGATTTAGCTTATAAATTTCCTGTAAATCATCATCAACTGAAACTGCAATCAAGGAAACAAAAAAAATCGATCACCCAATAGCTTATGTCAATAAACTACATCAACAAACATCATGGAAGGTTGATGATGGCCCCATATAGAGTTAAGAAGTTTTGAGGGATGTAGATGATGATACAGTGAAAGCTCCTTCCAAATCTACATTTTAAAACATAATTATATTACACTCTTGTATGAAAGGAAGGCCTAAGTATATTTCTTTAGTTTACTATTACAAAATAAGACTACCCTCCTTGCCCTAAGCCCCTAACCATGTTATTCTTATTATTATTCATAAGTCATTCTCATTTCAGATTATAAAAATCGATCAAGAAGGGGAAAAGGAACTTACTCTCAAATAATAATAGTAAAGCAACACAAGAATAAGTTTACATGTTCAAGAAACTCCCCATCCCATAGCTCTGTTATCCTTGGTTCGACAGAATTCTTATAACCATAATTAAAGAAAAGAAGGGTAGCCTGGGCACACCGGTTGAGATGTTGTTGTTGGACACTCACAAATGGTGGAAGTTTTTCTATTTCATCAGCTTATGAAGAAATTAGACCATGTCAAACTCTACTTTTTTGGCCTCCCATGCTTGGCATCCTAGGCATCCTTTGGAAACTTATACATAAAATTCTTCCTTTTCCTCCTCAACTTTGCAGATTTACTATAGCTCTCCCTTCAAGATGCCCTTTTTACCTGAGTCATGAAGCTGACCTT